TGGCTCGGTCCTCGCAATTCCAGCAGCGTTAGGCATTTACAGTAACTCCGAAACATGCTTTCGGCCAGCTCTCCTTTTTCCTCTCCCTTTTCGGCTGCTCGCAGGGAGTCTCCCCGTGGGAAATCCGCGTTGTGTTGGGGAAACAGTGAAATCCTCTCTGGGTGGGTGGTGGTGGCTGTGCTGATACCGGGGTGGCAGCAGCGCGGAGTCCGGGGAGCTGGTTAACTTCGTCCGTCCGTCAAAAGTCTCCCCCGAAATTCCCAGTTCACTGCTTGGAGCCAAGAATATAAGAACAAAGGTAATCTTCAGGGCTTTCAAGGGACCGGGGTTTTGAAGGCTTGATTGTAATTAGCATAATTAGTGTAGAATTTTATTTTTGCACGGATAGAGCCGAAAGAAAAAAAAGCAAAATAATCCATTGATTTTTAAATATAAAATAAACACTGGTAAGAAAGGTCCCCTTTTCCAGTCTGGAATAGGCTGAAAAGCAAACATTCTTTTTCGAGCTTTGCTGAGAAATCACTTTTTCCATCTAAGGAATTTTTTTTCTTAAGTGTTGCGTTTCGATTGATTTATTAATGAGCTAAAGCCTAGGCATGAGGTGCCCCTTCTCTGTATGGATTGTAAAATTCTGCCGTTCAGCTTTCGGAATATTTTCCTTCCTTAAAAACGAAGGTAACATTTGCATCATTGAGCACCATGCGCTCGGCTCCCAGTGATTTGTAGTGTTTGGCTTCTCGGGAGCTGTGTGTATTTTATTCATAAGCATCGAACTGCTCGCGCTGCCCCCGCCACCTCACTGCAACAAAAAGTCACAGAGAAAAACCTTCCTTGGGTTTTACTGGAGCAGCCTACACCTGTCTGGAGTCTCATCCGTGAAAAACAGACCGCTTGTCTTTCAGCTGAAGGTATCTGGGTATCACATTCCCGACTTCGACGGGGTAAAAGAGATTAAAACACGCATTAATTCACGACAAGCTTCTGATTATTTTTTTTCCTTCCCATTTACATTCATAATAATTAACTCAAGAATTCTCGGTTTATTTTGTTTTCCTTTTGGTTTAATTCTCAGCGGCCGGTTTTCCTAATGCCCCCTCGTGCTGGCTAAAGTCGCTCGGCTTCCTTCAGACCTCCGGGACCTGGAGGAAGGACCAAGGAGCAACAAAGCCCCCCGTGTCGTGGGGCTTCCCGAGGCCTCGGCGGACCGGGGCAGGCCGGCAGCCCCCAGCACCACCGCGGAGGTGGGTCATCCCG